AAAAATTGTTGGCAGAAACTGGAAAAGATTTTCTCACCATTTTGGTGAGAAAATCTTTTCCACAATTTCATGGAAAGTGGCACGTGGGAGAGGGGGGGAGGAAAATTTTTTCTTAGCCAACTTTTACCTATCAAACAACACTTTTGCATGGAAAAGGAAAATGTTTTCCATTTTCCATGGAAAAGAGAGGCTATCAAACATAGCCTTAGTTATTTCTTGTTGTATGCCTATAAAGGGCTTTTTACAAGTACTTCTAGGCTTGCTAGATAATAAAAACTTCAAGTGGTTCTAGAATCAAGATTGGTAGGCTATGATTGTGGATAGGGTGGACATGGTAAGAACCAAACCGAATTGAATTTGAATTTTTGGGTATTTAGTAAGTGGAACCGTTGGATCTAAATCTAATTATGGAATCAAAACGGTTTGATTCCGTTTAGTTTAGTTCCATATCATAATTAATTTTTTAACATTTACAACAACACTGCACTAATCCAACTAATCACATGTTCAATCTCGACTCTAAGACTGCTAACTCTTATGAAAAACGTAGTTCAATTTAAAAATATACAAATAACAAGTGTCTAATAAGATCCATTAACCAATATATACAAATTACCTTGATCAAAATAAAGGAAATTCAATGAATAGGGCAGAAAAAATGTAAGATGAAGAGAGGCGCGGCCGCTCAGCTTTGATTATTTGAGAAACGGCAAAATGATTGAGAAAAATTTTGGTCACTCAATTTTGATTCTTTGAAATTTGAATTACAAAATTGGGCTTGGATTGAAAACATGAAAATGATATTTTGGGCTCAATTAATTAGTTGACAAATGAAATAGGAAAATGATATTTTTGGGCTCAATTAATTAGTTGGTAAATTTATTTAGAGAAAATTAAAATAATTTGGCTTGTTTAATATTAAGATTTTTTAAAAAATTAGGGAGATTCGGCTCTTATTCGGTTCTTGGTCTAAAATTGAGAATCAAACAAACACATCGGTTTTCGATTCTGATACCCTTTCGATTATTTAACTTGGGAATAATCGAACTGAATCGCTTGGTTCGGGTTTGATTCGGTTCAGGAGTTTTGTCTGCCCTAATTGTGGCTATTGGTCGATCGAATTGATTTGTAAGCTTGATAGCTCTGGATGCCATCGATGTAATATTAGAAGTAAATGGAGATCATTTATCCTTTTAGCGGCCTTAGAAAAGTTCCTCATAGAGGTGTAAGAGTAGGAGGAGAAAGTAGGGAGTTCTTGAGTTTGGTGTTCCCAGCCCTTCTCTAGAATCAAGTTTGGTAGGCTATGATTGTAGCTATTGGTCGGTCGAATAGATTTGTAAGCTTTGACAGATGTGGTTGGCATTGATGTGATGTTAGAAGCGAATGTAAGCTTTGTAATAATGTCTTCTCTTTTGTTTTAATGATAAACATAAAAATGAGTGATGTGTAGACTCTCATCTCATTGCTGACAGTTTACATGAATGATTTTAGTTGAAATTTTGGCTGACTAATTTTTATTGCACACATTCAATTCTATATATACTAGTGCAATCCTATCTATAAATGGAAAAGAAATATTATCATATTATTGCATTAACTCATAGCTAGACTAAAATATAAGATACATAGAATACAAGTTAAAATAGACTTCCTATTCTGTCTCCCCCTCAACATGGTGCACGGATATTAAACGTCTTTGGACAGTAACGTATATAATGGCCCACTAATTGAAAACCTTTGCCGAATTCTAATTAACCCGTGTAGTAAAGACCTCCCCTCTCTTTACCATTGTCAATAGTCATCTTTGTTAGATTGTCCTCCACAGGGGATACTTGAGATCCATGAGAAGCAGAAGGAGACGCATCAGAGGTGTCAACCAATCATATTTTTTTCTTTTCAACTTGCTTAATTTGAACTACTCCAGATAACCATGTAGTCTTCAACAAACATCTTCAGTGTTTGAAGTGCAGTAGCAGTGGGTGCAAGGCCTAGAGAAGGGGTTGAAGTAGTTAGCCGTAAGTTATTTTCCTGGACAGTCAAAGTTGAAGCCTCAGAGTGAATATCTGTCTCCATATTTTCTTGTTCTTCATGGCGGACTAGTGAGTCCTCTCAGACTTGGGAGAGGAGTGATAGCCAACAAGATTATTAACTTGATCCAAGCTATGATCAAGACTTGCAAGAAACATATAAACTTGATTTTTATCAATAAGCTTTCTATGCTTCTCAATATCTATCGTACTCACTGTTGGGAATTTAATTAACATGCATGGCGGAAAATAAAATATATTTCAATTCCCACCAAGGATCTTCTTTGTATTTCGAAAGAAATTGTGATAGAATTTGTACTTTTTGTAGATTTTGCAAACTCCTTTGCTAATCTTGAAACACGAACAATCACAATCTGTAATTCACAGTTGTCCAATTGTCCAGTCTCTAATGGAAATCCACACAGAGATCAAGAATGAGAGAATTAGGATTTCTCTTTTCTTGTACTAGCAAGATAATGAATTATGTTCTATTCTATTTTTCTGAAACCTTAATAACTTATTAATATAAGTCCAAGTGGGATTGACCCGTCTTTTAAACTTAATCCGATCCAATATTTAATTAATTCAATTAATTAATTTTGGTCCATGAATTAATTAATTCGAACATATTAACAAGCAATCCAATTAATTAATTGTATAACACTTGTTAATTAATTAATTGAAATCTCATTCTTCTAGTTCTTTTATTGTATGTGACCCATCAAGTTCTCAATCACGATGCCACAATGTGAATTATTATTTTGATTTAATCAAAATTGATAAATCAAAATACTTCTTTTAAT